CACCTGTATCCCAGCTCTTGGGAGACTGTAAGCAGGTGGATCACTATGAGTCAGATCTAGTAGTGAGATCTTGAACACCTGTAGAACCTTCCCTAAAATACAAAAATAAATAAATAACAAAACAAACTGACACACAGTGACACACAACAATACATATGTTACAGATTTTCAAAACAAGAATAGCTGATTAACAATGGTTGATATCTTATTGATTTTTATCACCAAATGTTTTGCTCAGATAAACAGACATAGTTGTGTAAGATTGGGAATACTACCACATGCTTTCAAGAAACCTTAAATTTTTGTTCATGTCTCAACTTTTTTCTCTTTTTTTAAAAAAATAATTTTAGGGCTGCCCAAATAGCTCAGCAGATTAAAGCATCTGACACTGGAAAAGGTACGCATGTAGAAGACCAAGATGACAAGTAATCAGTATGATTTTTGTGTTACACAATGCTGTCCCGGATGTAGTTGCTTAGATTGCAGACGTCAGGACACAGAGTTAGCCAAGGTGAAAACTCTACAAATTAACTGATATTTTCAAAAAGCTGACAGAGATTTTTAGTGCAATCGCCTCAGCCATCCTAGATATATACTTGCACAGTTTTCCCATACCCTTTTACTTATCTTTTCTCCTTTCTCTCTTCTTTGCTGTTTAATCCTTAAGTTCTTTCTGCTTTAATATATCTGCTATACTTTTCAGGTTTTATTCCTCCTTTGAGGTTCTTACACAAAGGAGACAATATGATATTTACTCTTGTGGGTCTGATTTATATCACTTACAGCTATAGCCTCTAGTCCTATCCACTTACTCATAAAGGCTTTAAATTTGTTTTTCTTTACAGATGAGAAATACTCAATTGTATAAAAATATTATATCTTTTTCATCCATTCACTGAGTGGTGGACATTTTGGCTGCTTCCAAGATTTGGCTATGACAAATTGTGCTGCTATAAGTATGGGTGCACATATATCATTCTGGTATGATGTTTTCAGTTCTTCTTGGAAAATACCCAGAAGTGGAATAACTGGACTGAATGGGATTTCCAGCCCAAGATTTTGAGGGGCCAGCACACTGATTTCCATAATGGCTGTACCAGTCTACACTCCCACCAGCAGTGGAGAAGGGTTTCTTTTTCCCTGCAGCCTCTCCAGCATTTGCTATTATGTACCATTCTTTCTGTGATGAGATGGTAACTCTCTTTTATATATTTTATTCATTTT